CNNTTTNNAAANAAATATTTCAAATGTAATTTTGATATCCTTACATAACTCTCATATTCGCTCTTATCCGATTTTTGTTACCTCAAATAAACATATTATCTATCAGTTAATGTTCTAAGAATTGTTGAATTTTAACTAAATTTCTGATTTTTTTTGCGGAATTACTGAATTTAGCTGAATCTAGCATAATTTTGTTAAATAATAAATAGTGTTAGTAGAATTGTTGAATCTAGCTGAATGTTGCAGAATTGTAAAATTGTGTATCATTTACAGCCTAAATCATTTCTATCTATCATTCAAAATTTAGTAAGAAGCCAAATCCAATATCTTGATTTAAGTAGGAAAAGAAGAAAGTAATACATTAAAATAATTCCACAGTAAATCAAAATTACTTTCTTTTTTTCGGTTTTGTGCTGACAACTTACTTTTTTTTAATATATTTTAAGTATCTCAGGCGACCAATTAAAGTGTGCGCCCCGCGAATAATACCGGCGCAATCTTTCTTCTTTTCTATATGGGCCCCACAAGCGTGCCTACATTTGGGCCCATTTAAAAAAGCCGTACTTGGAGAACAAAGAGATTAATAAATGAAAATCGATGAAAATAAAGTACATACCATATCAACAATAACAAATTAACAATGGATGGAAAATTTACAAAATGGAAATATTTTGGGACAGTTGACACATTTACAAAACGTTTATCTTTTTTTGAATTGACACATTTACAAAACGTTTATCATGGTTAGCTATAACATTTTATAAGATTATATAAACTTAATTTTAAAATCAAATTCCCGACTAATACTATAGTTCTTTTATAACGGTTAAACAAATGGATACAATATTATGAAAAAAAAATGTCTTTACAAACAAAAGAAACAGAAACAAAAGAAGAAACATAGTGAACCTCATCAAAATGACTTCGAGACTAATTGGAAATTTTATTTTGTCATTGAGATAGAGTTAAGTTGTAGTTGTTGATGTGCCTTGCGATTTGTACAACATAAGCAAATAATCAAAAACAATTCGTGGAAAACATTATGATTATTCCAACTCTCTGAAGTTAATTCAATCAAAACTAAATCATTACTAGTTAAATTCATTGCAAATTTGTATCACACCCGACCGTTCGTTACACGACCATACTTGTTCTATAGTGATTACGTCGCTTCAACTGTTGCTTACCATTCCGAACAATTTCATCATCCT